ACAAATATTTAACAGTCTTTTATTGAACCATAGGGTATAGTTGCACCATTGAGCTTCAACTAAAACACTGAAATTAGGAATGAGAAGGAATTGCGTAATAATCTTTTAGACATTGGAAACAATGAGGAAAACAAGGAGTTTGGTGAGATGAAAAATGTTGATAGATATGGAATGCGAAGGGTGAGGCTCCGTATGATAGGTATAAGAAAGATGAAGAAAGAAACAAGAGTCATGATGAAAGTAATCATAGCAAACTAACTATAAGTAAAATCAGAGATTGAACCTACTTCTTCTGCACACAGAGATCAGACTTGAACGGGTGAATCACTAGCGCTTCTGCAATGTGCAATCGTTGAGCATACCCCTTTTGAACCATTCCCTTTTATTGTGTAAATGAGACTGAAGAAGGATTCTTAGGGAGCCATATGCCCAGAGTTGACCGAATACTTAAGAATTGAACTGTCAATTGACTGATAGTCTCCCCCAACAACCATGCAGGATAGTGCTCAGAGATACGTTTGTAAAGTGCACGCTTCATGTGGCCTATATAACTGGCTTTACAGAACATAGTTGATTTGTGGACACTTCAAGATCACTATTTCTCACTCTACGTAAAATGAGTTAATACACGTCCGCATGCATATTTATTTATTTATCCAGAGAACAACCTGTTGAAAGGTTATACAATTACCTTGTACACTAACAGTGACTAGTGATGACGTTTATCGTCTTCTCCTAAACTATTTCAACAATAGTTATCAGGATGAAAGAGATAAAAAAATCAAGGAAAAATTTCCCCCAGGTTATTTCTAGTTAAGTCTACGTCAGTAAAACTAGTATTATCACCAGATTATTATTAGCTTACAGTTACCCCCTCCTTTAATTGCGGAACCACTCTTTTTTGAGGGGTTGACACCATTTCTAAACAGAAGGCATGTTTTTCTTTCAGCAACTAATAACAACACTGAAGTGCCTTAGGTGAAAAACTTTACAGTCAAACCGTAACTCAAAGTAGTGTGTTCTCAGATTATATCGTTATTCTTCTATTGCCTTTGAAAGGTATCCTCAGATTACTAAATGCGGAAAAAGCTTATCTATTCCAGGTATTCGATAATAACTTATTTCATCAGTCTGGTTAAAAAATAACCTTCAGTGGCGTTAAAGTATAGTAGCCCTAGGTGATCTTGATCAAGCAACAATAGAGATTCATGGTTAACCTCAGAAATTTTACCCAATATCGATCTAAACAGTCACTGTCAAAAGAGATATCTCTGTAACAACTATGACCCAGAATTACAATAGAGGGTGATCAGTGCTAAAATGCAGAAGAGCTTTTTGTCAAAGACTCAATAATTTCCTGGTTACTATTTCAGAAAAACTTAACGATATATAGGATTTTTAGGTTGGAGAGGTAGTGTTCTATGTATTGACGAGATGAGATAGGATATCGAATAACCAGGTGTAAATAATTACCACTTATGACAGAAGTTTAAGCAACCGATTCAAGGAAAAGATGTGCAAATGCATCTGTGAGGATCTGAATTATCTTTTTGAAGAAAACACAAAAACATTATCCTGTTAAACTATGCTTACTGTATCAAAGCTAGTTTAACACCTAAATCATGAATTTCGCTTTGTGAACTACAAATCAGTGTGATCCGTTGTTCACGGTCGCTTGTCAGTGAAGAAGGTTTTGGTTTCTACGATGTGAGTTCATCAGACTTTCTCCCAGACAATAAAAACACGACGAACACAATATCTTCAGAGCAACTTGTAACGTTTAGCTAAGAGCGCATTTAAAGAAGAAATGTCTTCATTTGGTTGCTTCACACCCAGAAAGCTTTTTCAGTACTCTCTATCAGTTTCAAACAATTGTTCTAAAGGAGGAAGTCATACAGCTGGATTTTCGAAAACGCCGAAGATATCATTTCCGCATTAAAATCTTTCTTCTTCGCTCGATCATCTTGGATGAGGATTAACTAATCAATGTAGTCACATAAAACGATCGACTGGCAGGATTACCAAAAAGTCTCCATAGAAACTGATATGAGCAGAGATATTACCATGAGTGTCGAACAGAGAAATCACTTTTAGAAAATGGTCCAATTTTTGTCCACAACTGGAAAACGCCTATCTTGTGAACAACATCCTTCCGCTATATCATGTGAAAAAAACTAAAAAAAGTACATCTTTGGGTAGTTAGTTACATACAGTAGGCAAAATGAGCATTAAACAATGGTGTAAAAGGATTCACTAGACATATTCACTGTCTTCACCTCCATCGAACTAGCTTTGCCATCGCAAACCATGAGTCTGACTGACTTTCAACTAAGTCAGTTGCTTGTAAACTCTTATTCCAAGGGTATTACAGTATTTTAGTAGAAGAGATTACAGTCATTTGTATTCTATTTCAGTAATTCTGCTACACAGCTCTGGCTAACATCTACTCAAAAATGAAATTGTCATTAAAGTGAGATTGAACTGAAATATAGCTAAATGTGCCGTGATTGGTCACCGAATGGGAGCCTTGGTACATTTTATATGTTGATTTTTAATCAAAGCCTCTCAACCACTTGTGTAATGAAAGCGTTGAGTTGAATGGCTTAACCCTTTATAGAAATTTGTGTGGTTTTGTACGTTTGGAGTCAACCGACAGAAAGACATTCAACTGTGGTGAACGCTTGTCGGAAATCCATGTTCTGTAAGTGATTTCAGCCTGTGTCATGCATTTATGATGGTCGCCAACAAATAAATCACAGTATGATTCTACTTAGCTATTTAACTCTTTTAGCTCTAAGAAGTTAAAATCCTAGTTGTTGGCCAGTTTTTATACATAACTAGGTCATACAGGCTATCAGTTGTGTCCTGAGTAGCTTAGTGATAATGGTTAAATATTTGGCATGAATAAGTATTAATTTCGACCCAACTTGTTTGGTAGTTGATAACGGAACTGACTGTAGAGTATCAAATTAAAAACCTAAGGTTCTTAGTTTCGATTCCGAATACTTTAAAGCTTCCAGTGTCAAGACCAGAAGCTGAAATCAGTCTGTGTAGTCACTCACTACCAGCCTAACCTATATGTAGTGTTCTGTGCACATTCTCATCGTAAAGTTGTTAAAGTTTATGGAACTTGAAATGACGCTGCACATACTAGTGTAGATTTATCCGCTTCTCACATTCTGTCTTATCTTGAAAGCTTATTAAATTCCCATATGTCATCCGCTTGTTAATTCTAACTGGTACGAATAAAGTCACGACAAATTCCCTTCTACGACGACAGTATCTACACTATGGCTAACAGGCAGTGAACTACTTAAAAGTCCACTCTTTCCATAAATGTTTACTTCCTGTAACTGGTAGTATTATGAGTAGAATTCCATTACGTCATAAAATTAGCACCAAATTAGCTATGAACTTTAGTGTCAACAACACAGTATTTTCCAATTCATTGTTTGATACTTGTAATTTCATGTCGCTTTACAGGATCAAACTGCTCGACATTTGTTGGTAGATAGGCATCTTTGCGGATGCCCCGATACTGCCAGAAAGTCATGATGTCGTACTTATATTGTTGACTACCAGTGGTATACAGGATACGAGTTCATCATATTTTAAGTTAGTCAGCTGGATGTATCTGTGGAGTTGTCGAGTAAGTCAACCATGTATAGCAAAGGGAAATTACAAGTACCAAACAACAGGTGATACCCATTGCACAAAAGGTGGCTCTGATGCCTAAGTGACCCACTGGATACCGCTTTGGTGTTTGAAGCGGCGGGTGCTTGGCTCCAGTCTCAGTGAGAATGATAAGGACACAAGCACATCCAGCTGATGAGTTCCAAATAGGACGAAACATGCGCCCTACACTCCACTGCTAGTCATCAGGACGAATACAGCATCTTTCCAGTTAACATTACTGTTCCTGACAGTTTAGTTGTAACCCAAGAAAGAATAATACGCCTTTAGTGTTTATGTCAAAATACATATCTTTTATTTCCTATAAAATCGATGGTTAACTTGCTGATATAACTCATCCTACTACTATTCTCTGCTCAAAGTACATTTTACACACCAGTTCATATATATATATATATATATATATATATATATATATATATATTGTTTCAGTGTTCAACATACTGGTAGTCTATATGTATTAGTTACCATATGGTAATAAATTTGGCTATCAAGTGATGGTGAGCACTTAGAACTTGGCACTTCCATTGCTTACTATCTGAAGTTTAATTCGCTTACATATTCCAGTACTGTAAGGTGTCAGTTGTAACTTAAAGAGTTCACTTGTGGGGTATTCATCTTCAACGCTGACTGGCGCAGGGTTGAATCTTTAAATTACCAGATATGATCTCTTGATAACGGTCACCATACATGAAATCCAACTCAAATAATAACCCTGCCCAAGGATTACTACTGTGTAACGCAAAAATAGTGGCATTCTGAAGATGGAATCACTGTTCAACCAAATTAAACGGAAGAGAAACAGCGTATAAACATTTCGCCGAAATAATGAGCATCTTTCTAAACTTAGGTGAAAATTAGTGATCTCGTAAGCATAAACTGTTACATATTGATTCAAACGACCTCTTTAGAGTGAACAAATGATACTCATCCGGTTCAAGTTTATCTCCCAGACTAATGTAGTCGCTGACATTTCATTCAAACAATTATATCAACATTCCTGCAGTTCAAGGAAGAGAATAAAGTTGAAAGAATCAGCAACAAAATCAAAATCTATTTTCTAATAATTTTTGTGTTTGTCTTCACATCATTTTGATGTGACCAATGATGGCTAATATATGAGTAGATAGCAGTTGTAGACAGCACTTAAAACCAATGTGTTTGTTATATTCTCCTGCTACAACGTCAGAATTATAGTTTTTATAGTTAGATGCTGAAACGCTTGCCAATATAGTAAATAAAACATACTCACGGCAAAAATGATTCTAACACACTATCTTGTTTATTTATTTATCTATTCATTTCAGATATACAGTTCCAAGTAAATTTACAGCCTGGACAAACATGGAAATTAGATCAACACTATCTTCTGACAAGAATTCGAAAATTGTCATCTGAAATTCAACATCTACCCTTGGAAGCTGCATTGGATATTCGATCGACAAATGGGACTTTTGTAAGTTATAAAATGAAATTCGTATCTGCGACACTCACCATATTAAATTTATTTGTTTCTGAAGAGTAACTAATTTGGCGTTGTCTGAATTCTGACGGAATTTTATCAACCATTTTGCAATATGGCCGCCAAGCTAGGAGTCTGCGAATCGTTGTGCACTTTGATGGATGCTAACTAGATGGATGTAGTCGGCGGGCGGTTCTCAACTCACTGATCTATCCAGAATTGGTGATAATGTCGCTAACTGCAACATTGGGTGAGGGTGCCGAAAAACATGAAAACCTAGTTCCAGGGCTCCTTCCGATTACCTCCGACCACCTAACTTACTACATTATTTTCTATTCTATAAAATATGTTGATAACTTTTTGCATCATCATGCTTAATGACCACTCGTAATATTATGGTTTAAGAAGCAGGTGTTTCACCTAATAAAGGTTGGATGTCCTTGTGTTTTCGGGAGCTGTTGTCAAAACACCATTCATCATCCTGTCTTTATGATTGTTGGCATTCATCAGTAAGGCGTATCTGGAACCAACTCGACAATTTATTATAGCCTACACCGTCTGTAGCAGTGAATCCACAAATCAAGGTCAGGCATAGAACACCAAGGTACTATTTTTTGGGGCTCCTTATGCGCAACGCTAAATACTCCCGATAACTTCTACACAGAAGTAGATACACAAAAGTGATACGAACCCATGATTTCGACAGAGATTGGACCAGGGCCTTCAGGTTCTGTGGCCAGTACGTTACCATTGAGATACTGGGCCGGAATCTGGTAAGGATCCCCTAGAATTGGTTCTGGTTGCAGTGATTTCTGTCCTTCCTGACGAAATAAGTGATATTATAACCTTGTATAATTTTCAGTGGATCTAACCGATATTGATTACATATGAGGAAGCTGAGCAGGATCACCTTTGAGGACAATTTACTTGTTGATACTGCGTGAGGACTGAATGTGAAATTAGATCTTCAATCACCAAGAACTTCGCCTGACTGCCATGTGAACCGGTGTTGCGTAACTCTCTGTTCATGGTATTCATACTGGCTGCCCATGTCGAGATCCAAAACGAGCTGAATTAGAGACAAGTAGCATGATATTGACTATTGTCGTGGCTATCTGAAATGGCCCTGGTTTGTCAGACCCGCATTATCGATGCTGGGTAATAACTAAAGACGGGATATAAGTTTGGATCACAGTGGGATCTGAACCAGAAGCCTACGTTCTGGTAAGCGGCTGGGTCCTACAGCTTAGTTATTCGAGCACTAGGCAGATGACACGGTGGCCGCTGGTCCAACCCCTATTACAACCCATATTTTCACTCATTACCCGGTATGAATAACACAAGTTTAATCGTCGTTGAATACCACAGCTATTTGACGCGCTTATATTTTAATGAAAGCCACTCCAATCGACCATAAGCTAAAAACTTCTACGCCTAATTATGAAATGACTTTAAGGGCTCATAAGCCCAGTGAATGGTACTTCATCATGAGTAACAACAGCTACCACGTCCAATGCGGAGCAAGAGCACCAAAACTGATACAGGTTTATGCAACTGCCGGGTTCTAAAATGTTGTGACTTGTGTGAAATAAGAGATTTTACTACTACACAACTGAACAGACAACATGATAACACACATTGGATCTGATCAAGAAGGTAATGAGATCAGGCAGTTATACCAGTCAGTATACACAGTTAATGGCTATCTAGAAAGTTAAAATACAGCTTGTTACAAGGTTTACTGGAGTTTTAATATGAAGCCAGAACTATCTATGAAGTACGTTATGCTTTGAACCGAATATGATACTATTGAATATCTGAATACCGTGAAAAAGATTAATTCTAGAAATTATGATGAACTCAGCTGGTATTCATTAAATGATAACCTCAGTTAAGAAGATAGTTTGACAAACCGTATTTTTAGGTGGTTAAAGATAATTGGGAGAAAGCTCTGAATAGAATGCAAGACTCACGTTTTGACCCACATAAATCAATCAGAAGTGCTTGTAACCTGAAAAGAACTGCTTTTTCACCAGAAAGCCAATCTTTCGTCACCTAGTTTCGTAATCAGAAGTAGTGTTTGTGCCTAGTTGGCAAATCCCAACAAGTATAAAACCAAGAATTTCTTTTAACCACCTTCAGCTACTAAACACATCAGTTAAAGCATACAGCAGTACTAAGTTGTCTACTTGTTGTCAACATTGCAAAGTACACAAAGTTTTCAAACATCAAACTGTTTAATTTTTGTGTCCAGTTTAATGATACATTCCAACAAAATTTTGGCATTCTGAGTTCTAGGTGTACAATGCAAATGGGATTATCCAAAATAGCCATGGCGGAAATTTGCTGAAATTTTATTTCAAACAAAGTTATGTTGGTTAACGCCACACCTTACAACTAAATAAAGAACTATGGAGCAATTTAAAATTATTATCTGTTCGCTCATGTAAAACGTTTAAGTGATGTCCTTATTGGCTGCTTTTTCAAGGAACAGTGGAAGACTGAATTACATTTCCAAATGATCAGTGTTAACAGCAATTCTGAAATCTTGATGAAGTTGCTGGTATCAAGTGTTGATTAAAATTTCTGTAAAAGATAAGGAAGAAACACCCTACCAGAAACCTGCAGTTATGCTCAATAAGCAGTTGTTATTACTATCTGTTAACTTTAACTTCGATAAACAGTCACTCTTTGGTTAGAAATTGGATACCCGAACCAATGAGTTGCAAACTTAAATGGATAAGTACTAAGTTTTCATGTGGGTGTTATATTTCTTTGATTGATAAAATTCAAAAGCCTTTCGAAGGACGAAAATGGCAACCATCTTTAGGTATTTGGTTACCAGTTAATGTTTGGTTACCTTTTCGGTATCATGGAATAATATTAATTCTCTTCCTGTTTATTTTTTATTCCCCCAACTAACAGATAATGTTACATATTGATCATATCCAAGTCCCACCACCGGCAGCCTGGAGCTGCCAACCAGAAACTGTCTATACAAAGATGACAAGAATAAAGTGTCTTACTGGTGAACCAATCGTATTTGGTCCAGAGAAGAAAAAAGATGTAAGCGATGGTAAGTGAAAGAGAATTGCGAATAAGATTCATTAGGGTTTATATTGTTGGATGCTTGATAATAACTACTGAGTGTTACGCGTGTCACCTATACGGATATATACTAAGTTGTTAGCCAACGATGAACCTTTCAACTTAGCCTTCCAGATGCCAACAACTTTTAACTCTCAAGAAAACTCAGTCAGAAAGGGCATATATGTTTCAGAAATCGGCCAAAGCAAGCTGGAACATTTGTATTTATAGGTAAGGAATTAAATGTTGTCCTAACTTGAATACTTTGGTGCATAAAAAGTTGTATCAACTTACAACAAAAACAAATGGGGAAATAAACGTTAATAACAGAATCCATGTTTATACATGCCACCCCTAACACTTGTAGCAAAGGTGAATCAACACAGCTGTCAACCAAATAGAACATTGTATTGAACAAACAGACTAACGAACAATGAGTAAAGCCTATACATATACGATGTCTATGGGTAAATGTAAGAACAAATATTGCTAAAATATTCTGTCAGTGTAATCAATATGAGTAAAACATGGGCACTGTGGTCGATTGTAATTCCATTCTAATCTGTTTATTAGAAATATCACACAATGAAACAGTAGGATTCACTGGATAACGTTTCGGACACATTCATATCAAGTCGGTGTAATTATGAGCGGTAATTTTACTTGAAACAGTACCAAAATATAAACTTATCATTGTGTATAAACTTCGCATTGAAAAATTACTTATAATACAAGAACCCTATATTATTAACATTAGACATAGATTGTATTTGTGTAAGTCACAGCAGGTGTGAAATCAAATAATTCCAAAGTTTCGCACAGAAGTCTGGTTCTAGCTTCTTCAGGAAAATAATCGAAATTACAATATCAAGGATATATAAATGAATTTTTTTTAAAAAAAACGTGTATTCAATCTCTTTATCCAATCCTTTTCGTCTGGCCATTGTCTTTCTAAATTATGGTAACTAATTATTTAGTGTGAAATTGTATGTCTTTTGTTGTATAGAGTATGTATGTTATATGTGTATGTATATATGTACTCCAATTCATATTCGTTTTGGTTGTAAATATCAAACAACGTTAAAAAGGTTGGAATGATTTGATTTCAAACCCGCCTTGACTTACACAAATACAATCCTATATCTGATGTCAACCTTTTACTCGGAGCCCAATATTTACCATACTATGCAATCAAATATTGATTATAGTTTATATAAACCTATATTATCAATGTCAAAATAATTGCTAGTTGTAATCACATTCAGTTGACATCGTAATTACAACACATTAAAGTGAATTGAATTTGAAGCAGCTGAACCCTTTGATAAATTTAAACAGCGTAATGAGATGAAGGTTATCTGTAAAATGTGATGAATTATCGTGATACATTTTAAACAATCTGATCACACATGGACTTGCTGAACTATTTATGGGACGATTTACTAAAAGGCTTAGATAAGCCATCTGTAAAACTGTTTTTTTATCCAGTCAAGGTCATCATCATAGAGAAGACTAAGTCCATGTTACAACAAAAACCAAAACAACATATAAACGACTACATCATATCTCACTGTGTTTAACAATTTACATGTATGTGTGGACACATACAAAGGGAAGAACAATCGCGATGCGCAGTTAAAGATGGTTGAATATATACCTAAGTGGCTTCAAAAACAAATGATCTCAACAGATCTGATATGTGCAGGCGACAAACGTCCATCTTCATCTATTGCTAAACATACACTAGGAAATAATCACATGGTGGGCATGAGAAGAGTTTTTGAAGTACTACATAAAACTGGTTAGAGTCTAATACTAAAATTTATTGAAGCCCCTGTCATCTATAAATTTAAACCTCCTTTATGTATACAAAAACAATTTGTACTCACTTTGGCAGTAATGATTTTTATTTTCACACAAAGAGTAATGTGATCAAGATTTTGTGTTTCTTCTCTGCCCTCCTTATTCCTATGCTTCTTATTGACTTCAATGACCGTTTTTGTAAACCCAATCCATCTCCACTTTCTTCTGCACACTTGCTAGGTGACAGGTTCTTGGTTGGTTCGTTCCCAGGCCAGAGTTCCTTGTTCCTTATTCTTATTATTCTGGCCATCTGGTCTTCAGTATCGAGTGAGCGTAGACGGCAGCTTTTGATGATGTATGTCTGCAGTTTGTTGGAAGTGCTTTTCGTCACGCGCCAAGTCTCTCAACTATCACACAGAAGCACTGACTTGATGTTGGTGTTGAATATCCGGATCTTGTTCTTAATGCTGAGTGCAGTTGATCTCCACACTGGTTTCAGGTCGATGAAGGCCTGTCTTGATTTCCCGTTCCTGCCATTGACATCCTCATCTGTGCCACCATTTATAGTTGAAACGATGCTGCCTAGGTAGGTGTAGGTGAAAGAGGCTACTTCCTTTGAGTTTCTCCCGTTGATGGTGATTGGACCTTGTCTTTGCTGTTACCGTTGGTCGGGTATCTTCATCACCTCTGTCTTCTGTTCATTCACTTGAATTTCGCTTTTCGCTGCTTCTTCTGCCAACTTGTTATTTTTCGCATGTAGATCCTCGGGTTTGTGCGACATTAGACATAAATCATCATCGGCGAAATCCAGACCTTCTTCAGGACTCTTTTCATTGGTGCAGCTAGCGTATGTCCATCTTCCCGCTCCTAACAGTTTCTTGCACAATCATCAAGAAGATGATGGGTGATAATAGTAGCCTTGTCTTACTCCTGTCTTCACTTCAAAGGCATCACTGAGCTTTCCATTGTGAATCACTTTGTGTGTAGCATCATATAGTATATAGTTGTTGAATTAGGTTGATAAAGGTTTGTAGTATTAAAACCGTAGTGTTGGAGCAGTTGCCTGCCAAATAACTTCTCGATCGACGCTGTCGAAAGCCTTTTCAAAGTCGATGAAGTTGAGGTAGGGAGTTGACTGCGATTCTATACTCTGTTCTATGATGATGGGTTTTGTAGTGTTGCAATTTGGTCCGCTCATGATTTGTACTTCCCCAAGCCAGCCTGTTCTGGCCATGATTTTGAACTCAGCGCATCCTTTAGTCTCTCCAGGATGATGCGGCATAATATTTTGCTTGGGGTGGACAGGAGCGTGATTCCACTTCAGTTCTTGCAAAGACTTCGGTCGACCTTCTTCGGGAGTTTGACAAGATAGCCCTTCTTCCGAACAATCGGCAGGTACCTTCCCTTCCATCCAGAACTTGTGCGGTAGTGCTGTGAGCATGTCCGCTGTTGTCTCTGCTTCTGCTCTCAGTGCTTCTGGCGGGATTCCATCTAGTCCTGCTGCTCTCTCCGATTTCACCAATTTTATGGCATTCAGGACTTCTGCTTTTGTCGGAGGGCCTGTGTTCATTGATAGTTCTGCCGTTGCTGGTGAAGAGTGGCAAGTGGTGGCCGATTCAACAGCTTTCCGAAGTGGTCAGCCTACTGTTTCCTTTGTTTTTTCCTCTTCTGTGGTAATAGCTTTCGTTCACTATCTTTCATTGCTTTCGTCTGTGTTGATCTCTCCCGCCCCAGATAGTAACCTGGTTATTTGACACGATATTGCCAGGTCTCTGTCTCTGCTACCTGCAGCCTGCTCTGCTTCACTTGCCAGTGTTTCGTAGAAATGTCTTTTGTCTTTGCATGCACTATTCTTCACTTCTTTGTCCAGTGCAGTGTTTTATACGTTGTACTCAGTTCGTCTTTTCCTTGTTCATCCTTACACTGGTTTATCCTCTGCTTCACCATTTTCCTCTCTCTCCTCTATCATCTTCCATGTGTTCGTCACTACCCATTTCTTATCTTGTTTCCTCTTCTTTCCTAACACGTTTATACAGGTTTCCTTCTGCGCCCGACCCTTCAGGGATGTTGTCCAATGTCTCCCACTTTGTCTTGATGGCTGACGTGAAGATGTGCTTTATAGTTTCGTCCTTCAGTTTCTGTTCTGAATGTTGAACTTAGGCTATGATCTGTCATTAACTTATTTGACGGTTTTCAATTTGATTTGGATGGTGGTGTGAACCTACACCTGCTCCCCTTCTTGATCTTGTTTCCAGTAGGGTGCGTCTCCACTTTCCTCACATTGAGATGAAGTCCATCTGATTTTCAGTGTAGTGTGTTCATCTGGTGAAGCTCATGTCGCTGCCTTGCGAATCTTCTTGTGTCTGTACACACTGCCTCCAATCACCAAATCGTTGAATGCGCAGAAATCTGCACACAGTTTTCCATTCATTTCACCGAGTGCCTCTCGACCTATGATGAGTTCTTTTCCTGTGTTGTCCGCTCCCAGTTTGGCATTCATGTCACCCATTGGAATTTTGATGTCGCCAACTGGGGTGGGGTCTTGTCCAATGCTGATTGCAGTTGTCTGTAGAATTCTTCCTTCTTCTCTTCATCTGCATTATTTGTAGGTGCATAGCATTGTATGATTGTGAATTTCCTTCCTTTTGACTTGAATCTTGCTGTTATGATCCTGGAGGAGACTGGTTCCCACTGCATGAGAGAGAGGCTTGGATGATCTTGGAGACATCATAATAGCCACTTCAAACCTCAGTGTGCTTGTAGTTGTCGTCTGGGTGAAAATATCGTAGTAGATCATTGACTCTCCAGTTAAGAGTTTAGAGAGTTCACTTCCATTCCATTTACTTTCGCAGATTCCAAGCACTTCCATGCCATACCTCCTCATCTCTTTTGCAATCTCGTCAGCCTTACTAGGTTCATACGTGGTGCGGCCATTCGATGTCGCTATGCTTATTTTTGCTTTCATGGAGAATAGAGGAGACACATCGGCCAATTGGCCTCCCGAAGGCTTTCACCAACCGGCGTCATTTCGTCTCCGGGATTCCGGCGAAAAAAGATTTATTTTATTTTTTGTATTTTCTTTGTACTTTGAAGTCTCTTCATCGATTGAATTGTTTTTCCTGAGTAGGTTTGGTAGCCCTATGCCCAACCTCTCTTCTTTATCCGTGTTTAGGACCGGTTAGTGACTAGTGAGCTAGTTAACCAGGCGAGGTTATTACTCTCCAATGCACAATTATAAATAGAACAAGAATTATGAGAACTAAGCGGTTTACACAGGCTGCGTCCACGTCTAAAACTAAAATCTATAGTCTGACATTTTGAAGAATTCAGCATAAGACCACCCACGGAGGACCATCGTGAAAACAGTGGATAGGATGTTATTCAGTTAGAAACAATCTGCTGAAGAGGAGACAAGTGTGTAGTCTGCAAGGTCATCAACATATTCGATAAAACTGATATTAGCTGAAGATGATAAGTCATGCAGAAAGAAAGAGAAACAATAATAATTCACTTTACAAGTGCATACATACTCCTTTACAACATTTCGAATTGTGTTATCATAAAAATTTAATGTGAGGAATACTAAAAACGTGAAAACTTTACATTGTTAGTTAAATTATTGAGATGAGATTTTTAACTGTTTCAAAGTTGGTGTGTGATTTCTGTTCTAACACTTTTTCCCTCACGTAATATGCGCGCTAGGTAAAGTGAAGTCGCATTCTTATACTCAACTATAAGAGCATAGTCTTATGTAGTTTCCCCTCATTCTCCTTGAGGAGGAACATGGGAAGAGCTGTGAATGAAGTGGGTTCTCACTGTCAATTAAAATTTCTGTAGCCAGTTGCTTGCTGGAATTTAAATGTCTATCAACCACAGTGTTAATCAGTTGAGCCAGAGGCACACCACGCATCCTGCTCACGGCTGGATAGTGACTAGTACTGGGAACCAGGATGCGTGTGTATTCCTACTTAGAACTTTTCAGCTCCCTAACTGTGAGCCATATTGTCCCGACCAAGACTGGTAACTTGTCTCATCTGCATTGGCAATTACAGTGCGTAAACTTAGTTAAATACAAATACCGTTTCTTGCACAACTCACCATAATTTTCTTTCTCCTTCTTATACTCCTCTTATTTTCCTCCATTTAGGCACAGATTCAGGCCTTGATAAATTGTCATTACAAGATCCTGCTTCAGTTGTTGACGGACAGCATACATTTTTTGAAATCTATCCAGGCAAAACTATTTCACAATTTGTTCCACCATGTCCAAAAATCACACGATTCTGTGATAAAACTGTAGGCATTTTAAAATTAACCAGTAATCATGGTTCTTCACGAGATTTTTTTATACGCCACCCACGTTTAATTATTCGCATGGTGATTGCGTCACCACTGATGAAACCAGAACTATTGGCTGCCGTAAAATCTCGTCGTGAAGTGATCAATTCTCCTGGAAATTCAAGTAGTAAGCTGTTGAAAACAGTCAATACTCGTACACGTCGTCAGACTTCAATCAGTGATAGCAACATGGACGGTAGTAGCAGTAGCAAAGATATTGATAAAATCTCAGAATATATGCCTAAATTTGACTTTATTCTAACTAGTTTAAAGCAAAAATCGAATGCTGGTAAGTTTCCTAAAAATATATATGATATTCAGTGTGTTCATGCTAAAAGTTTGTTTATCTGCACTATTTTTAAAGCACTGACTGTTTACTTTTTAGAAGTCGTGAAGATTTTGGTTTTACTGCTGAAAGTAAACTATTCATTTTATAGAGATAGTTGATTACATGCACCAGATAGAGGTGCATACGTTCGTACACGTATACGCAGAAGCATCTTCCATCCTTGGCTACACAATACAAAGTTAAGATCATTGTTGACTGATAAGCCAATCAGAGATACAAAAGACATTCTTTTGGTTCCTTAGTTTAAAAAGATGCATAGGAAAGCAGATATGTGATTCAGCTGAAAAGTGTGTTGAACATTTTGTTTTGAAATGATGAAGGAGGAATGCACTGCAGTAGACATTGGAAAAAATTACGAAATATAACTTTGTCAAGTAGTGTTTACTTGTGACCAATTCAATCATAAAATAGTTCATAAGCTTCCCAGAAACGCTATGGAAAAAAGCTTGTGTAATTCATTAGACTTTAAGTCATAGACTCTGCGTATTAGTTTATCTGGCATTTTTTAGAAAGTGCTTGATTTTCTCATGTTCCAACGTCACTAGTAACCTGACATCAATAAAAAAATCTGTATAAAAATATTGGCTTCTATAATATGCTATGGTAAGCTATCAAATCAGTTGTATGCATCCGGCTGTACCCAAAAAGGATGCTGACTCTTCCTATTCCTGTCTAGTTTCTTTCATAGATATGCTTATGAAGGTCTCACTGTTTCTCCCCGCTTAACTTTTCTGAAGTAGTGACTGACCTTGTCACATGACCAACTAAATTTCATGTTAAGCCCAAGTCAAGATGTCAGTAAGCATGATTTGAAGGTAGCTGAACTACATGTTCTTAAAGATGTCAATCAATATTGATGTCAGGTTTGTGAAACCCTCTTATATAACGAAAACATGCGGTTATGAAATCAATGCCGGTTGTCGTAACATTCACTATGACGATCTATTTATTTCGTTTGAATTTTGTGTTACTTATAAGTAGTTCAAAGTGAGGCACATAATTATCTGAGCACTTTGAGACACTAATCACATTCCTCGTGTTAGTTTCATGTTCATATCCATATGTGAAAAACTGAATTTGCTTAAAGTAATTTGTAACTTACTTGTCTTAATATTTCCACTCAAGATTCCACTACCTATGTGACGTAAAGAAGAAAAAGCTTTTTGAATCTAAAAGGTGACAATTCACATGGTGATCACAAGATAATGGGTCTACATTTTGTTAATAACCAGTTTTAAACATGTGAATTATCTATTCTCAGTGCTTAGACGGTATACCTCATACTTATTCACAGAGCTTGGGCAAAATACGAATAACTTTGTCGTTTCTTGGAATATCATTTGACTATGATTAAAATTCCTACATATTTCTAGTAACCTATGAACAGCATACTTGAAGTAGGGAGTTTATTGCTTTTCAGTGCTAACTAAGGTCACGTTGACTACCTTAGTTGAGGCACTCAAGGAACCATGAGATGGTTTGTTCAAATAGATTTTCCACAGCTGATTAGTTGTACTATACATCTGCCATATGGCTATGAAATATGGCCATTACAGATAAATGATCTGAAGAGTGTCTTCAGAGTGTTGCTCACCCTTGGAGGAATCACCATATGAGTAATTCCGAGGTCAAGAGAAGAGTACCAGGCAAAATAGGCAGTTTATTCGATAAGGTTGTGAACGTTTACCGAATGAAGTAGCTTAAAATATATTTTGAGCATGCCAAGCCAACACGTATCTCGTTGTCCAATAACCGGAGAAGTAGAATTGAGCTTAAAGAAGGTTCGAAGTGACCAGACAAAGATATTACAACATTCTATAAGGTTTTTGACTACGACTTCGAGTCGTATGCGGAGGTGGTCGGGATGATAGAAATCAATAGTTGGAGACCCTTCGTGACTTGACTGAAAATCGATCACAATGGTCCAGATGTATTCACTCCTCGATGTCTTCTGAAGAATAAGGGTTTGACTAGCTTTTATAACCTTGTTGTCACTTGTTATATCTTTGCAGTGACTGATTGGTATAATCTAAATTATATGTGTGCATTTGAGGATGCGAGAGTTTTATATATTTTCAGTGCCCTTGACTATTTTCAGGCATTTCTAGATTCGATTGCCCTATAGATTTTTGTCTTTTCAACCAATCTGACATTTAGACGTTGGTTCGTGTGCTTTCTGTCGAAATTTCGGAGCAGCATGATTCTTTGTAGAAAGCTTTATTGATTTAGCGTCTTGTATGAAGATTATAACAATCTAATTCCACATGATAACACTAACCTTCACTTTCATATTCCTTCTCCTCACATATACCTTTATCTACTTTGATATCAGTCTTTTTCTACCCACTTGTTCTTTAAGTGCTATTATGAAGTTTGACAGCTTATACTGATACACTTATATGCAAGGTTCTTCACCAATTTCTTCCCTCTATCCGGCCAATTAGTCACATCAGATAAATCCTAAAGAGTTGAACAATCCTTTTTTGTTTTGCTGAAATATGATTTGTAACTTTAACAAGTTAGATTCAATGTGTCAGTGGTTTCATAATAAAGTTTTATTTTCGATTTGTTTAGGTGAACCATGTGATAAAGATTGGGAAGCGTGTGATTCAGAAGTTTGCATACCAAAGAGTTCATGGTGTGATAAAATAATTAACTGTCCACAATGGCAAGATGAAGGAGGTCATTGTATTTCAGAAAGTAGGCTATATTTTTTGAAAATAATCCTACATATTATTTATCAATAAAAGTAATATTTTAACTAACTAAAATGATACATGTGAATGTATACTTTGAGTAAACATTTGGCTTAAATTGTAAATAAGAAGTCTTTAGGGGAAATAAATCAAAAGTTGATTATTTACATTAACGTCGAATGAAGTCCACATAAAATCTAAATGCTAGAAACAAAAGCAATAGTTTCCTAATTACATCTAAACTCTATGGTCAATCTCAATACTTCCCACAGTCGACGAGTGCTCCAACTGCTCAACCATACTGTAAATAAGGTTTGCTCTTGAAACTATCTAACTATGACCAAATGCTGTGATCTTTTGTTTACAGAGACCTATATTTCATCAAGACTGTAGTTTAAAACACCTTTATCACTTCATATTGCTTGTGGATAAGGTTATGACTATTGTCAATGTGAATAGTGTAATCTGTAAATGACTCTTTAGATTGCTCATCCAGCTTGAGAAACTTAGTCAGGAGGTATTGATTAACTTGACCCTAGACAAGTGAAACACTTTCCAGGTGTTTACAACAATCTAATCTATCAAAAAAAACTTGCATAAATGGTACCAGCAGCAATCGTGTGTCTTTTTAATAGGATTTTATGATTTTCATTTCATCTTCAATCATCATCTAGTATCAATACAAGTCTGCCAAACCATGACCATCTCAAAAGAATTTTACCTCAGGTTGAGACAATAGTGTAGAGTTCAATGAGTTACGATATATTTGATCTTTGACATCTCACCATTTCATAAAGTTGGTGTTGATGATGTAAATAAATCCAGTAACTAAATACCAATTATCAGTAATGACACATGAAACCACTAAGGAAGCAAACGTTTTCAAAAAACAAAGGTAAAATGATTGTCGAGACATTCATCACATTTATTTATATACAAGGCAGTTATCTGAAGATGCTTTCTAGTTAGGCAGTGAAACGTCAGCTAGAATGTAACTTAGCGCTGGGGATAATGAACATATCGAGTCTTCCTTAAAAATGTTGAATCACACTAAATCGTTTTTCTATACTTCTTTGTTAAACATAAATCTTATAGATTTGGATCCTGATGCACTGGGTCCTGATGGTCGACCATTACGTGATGCTGGCAAGAGTAGCTTCGAGTTAAGGAAGGAACAAGAACATTTAGAAGCTGAAGCTGAACGTCTAGCTGCACAAAAGCTTCATTTGTCCATATTGGCTAGTTTAGGACTACTGTTACTGATTGTAACGTCCACCTGTATAAGTAAGTTTCTTCCCATACATTATTGGTTTGTTCATTTGTATAACTGTGCATATTTTGTTCAAAACTTAGTTTTAGTACAAGTAAAAACCTATACCGAGTGGTTAGTAATTCGAGCGAACCGGAACGCTGTAAGAAATTGTGTAGATGGCATTGGGCTATTTATTATTGGGGAAGGAAATATAAATCTACTGAGTTTTGCTACTGACTGTATTTTCTGACTATAGTAGTTCATTCGAGTCTTAGTGTAAAACTATGTTAATGTACAGCTCATAAGAGCCGTTTGACTTTATGAGGAGTCCTGTACAATATTGGATGAAATAGTGTGGTTAAAGGGAATCACATTCAATGCTTGTAGCTGATAGGCAGATAGATCCAAGCTTGAATTTCATGACTTTTCATTCTTTCCTAACTGTTGTGGTGTGAACAGAATATCTGTTAGCTCAGTTTTATGACTAAATGTACAATCATACAATGCTAGAAATGAATAATGAATGTTGATTATAAAGCAGTCTGTATAAAATAGCATCAGTTTGTATACAATTTTGCTGGGTACATCTCGACTGAATTTAAGTTTTTCTAATCACTAGCTTTCCTAACTGGTTTATCAACATCTTTTTATACATCTGTAGAAGTATCCTATTTCATTAAATATTTTAATAGATATCTCTCCCTCTCTTTAAATCTTCTATGAAGAGACTTTTTCAACCCTAACCTTAAGTAAATTTACTAAGTTTCCTTCTTACTGTAAGGATACAAGACTAAGGAAATGCATAGACGGGTGTGCTACCTCTTTAAGTGCTTCTGTAAAGTGATACTTCCTCTCATCCATGTCAGTAATACAGTACTCTGAACATATATGAAACTATATTTAATTCTAAGTGGATAAAGGAGACCTGTGACTGGTAATTAAAATGCTGACTGTAATCTGAGACTGACATTAGTTGAATAAAGGCAGACGACAGGAAGCGCTGGACCTAAGTTTCGTGTTATCCGGCATTTGTCAGCAGTACGTATCTCCATACCCTACCAAACCGACGTCCCGCCTGAGATTCGAACCAGCGTCACTAATTGCTGCAGTCAGGGACGCTACCAATGAGAGATGGACAACCAAGAAGACTGGATTGCTGACGAGTGCCAAAAAGCATGAAGCATAATTTAAGCAGGCCTTCCTGCCAATTGCCTCTATCCAAATGACACGTTCGTCAGTGAATCGTGTTGGTGAGTCTCCTAGCCAGGTGACCACATTGTAAAATGATCGACAGAATTCGATCAGTACATAGGACTAGACAACATGAGGTTGGCTACTGTCCAGCGACCAATCAGTGCATGAGCCTGATTATTAAATCTGAGACTTTTCATCACCAGTTGAGATGATCTAGTCAATATTTAATTAATTCATCATCATCAGCATCAACATAGGACCAGGCATTACTGCATCACGCTCACAGTTGCCACAGCTCATATCAGTACATCAAGTAAAAAGGTTGTCAGCTGCAAGAGGAAGATAAGAAAATTAAAATTAAGTAAAATGAAATATAAAGTACGAGAAGAAAAAAAGGAACAATGAGATAATGGTGAGAGTCGGCATAACGTTCAGATGGGGATAATGTGTATATACATCTGCACCACTCACATCGGTTCTCAGACATCATACATCACCTACATACAGTCTCCAACCACTGCTTCCTCTTGCCCCACCAAATAGTCTGCATCACCCAACATGGCTCAAACCAACAGTCAAAGACTTTATACACTGATGCCATGTTTTAGTCTGGCCACCTCGGGCCTTTCTCCAGCCTGCACCTACTTCGGTTAACATTGTGTGACGAGGTAATCCGCGACTAGGCATACGTAACACATGTCCCAACCATCTCAGTCGATGAAGATTCACAGCTGTGTCAACTAACTTACCTCTCCTTCCTAAAACTCCACACCTGAGTGTGACTTCTGCGTTACTCACGTGGTGACACCACGGAATACGGCCTATACTATGAAGGCTATGGTGGCCAAAAACCTGAAGCCATCCTTCTCACATCTTCCACCTTCAATGGCCATGTTTCACAGCCATACACTACAACAGACCGGACTGCTGTGTAGTATCCACAACACTTAATAGACAATCGGATATCATGACGGCACCACAGGTGGGGTGAGTTGGCAAAGGCCAACCGAACTTTTTATATTCGTGAACAGATTTTATCGGCCACTGAGACACCAGGGTTGATCCTACTTTCGAGGTAAGTGAAGTGGTCAACACACTCAACCTCAACACTCTCTACTGTTAGCAGCGGTGGGGTACTGTTGAAGACCAATCCTGGAGTAACAATTTGCATCTGGGTGATGAGAACCGCATCCCAAACATTCTCGAATTGACACTCAAAATGTTAAGAAGACTCTGGATCTTGTCAGCGGCTTCACCTGACAGGACTATGTCATCTACATATGCTGGGTCTACTGAAAATTCTCCTGTAATTAGGTCAACCTCTGTGTAGTGAGGTTTTGAGAGGGATTTGGATTAAGATTAACAATAATGAGTCTTTTTGTCACTGTACACAAAATTGTGAAATAACTAAATTGCAGCACTTTTTATGCTGATCGAATAAAGCAGCTATGTTATATAAGGATTATTTCAGTCATGTCTTTGCAGAAAGATCTCAATGAACAACATATAGCCAGCATAATGAGACTGCCGTTTGTCGAATACAATAAGCTCTCAACTTTCGGTCAGTAGTTAAAGAATCTCAAACTTGCTCTGTCTATCGAGATTTATGCAGGTATGTAGTACTTACTAGTTAAAACATGACAGGTTTAGTTTACAGTCTAATCAAGAAACCTATGACTACTTAGGAAATCAGAATATATTGAACAATTGTTCACAACACTATTACTTAGTGGATAACGTTTCGGAAATAATTGTCGCTCTTATTCATGCTAAAATCGAACTACACTCTACAACAGAGTCTACGTTTTAATACTACATTAGCACTGCATGCCTGTGAGACACGAGAAGACTTTGGGTGACTTGCCCCAATGACTTTCATAGCACCATCCAAATTTTACGATACCGAAATGCGGGAAATTTAGAGATTAGAGGTTGAGCATTAAATAAGCTGGATAAATCAGTTGGTCAAGTTATACGCCTTCATTGACTGAGGTGGTAACTAGGACATGTCAGCGATTACCTCAACATACGGTGTTCTTCATGCAGTAATAGTCTGAAGAGAAACTTACAGTTATCAGACCCGGACACAGTACCATTCCATGAATTAATCAAAGGTTGACTGGAAGCATGCAGAAGAGAGTTTGCTTTTAGGTTATAATTCGCGAGACAAGTAAAAACGATTTTGGAAACTCTAGATGATATGGTTCACAGGGGAATGAAAAGACCAAGTTTTCTCAAAAAGCCTCGCAAAAACTATGAACTTATTTCATTCATGCTCTTGTACCTTTAAGATGCTTCCAATTTACTCTAAATACTGCTAGTGGTTTGCCAATAATTATTTTGATATGAAGTGAAGGCTTATACCGAGAAGGAATTAGTACCATTTCCTGCAGTCAGTAATGCATTCATTAGAGTTTGTTCCTCTACCCTTCATTTTATCTAAATTTATAGTCTGGCATAATCCTGGTAGGTACGTTGGACGTTAAGGATGACTGGGTACATTACCAAATATGAGCTTCCTTAAATGTTCTATCCAAAAGCCCTATTACTTGGTCAGAAACATGTCCATCACCCATGTGTGCTAGAACTTTACTAATAAATAAACCGACAGCAAAAGAGGATAGCATTTGTCCTATTCACAAGATAGCATCACTTGAACAAGTACTGACGAATGCGAAATCAGATATTCCTCTACTTTATTTTCGAAGTCACCTTCTAACCTTTAGTGATTATAAGGTTTTGATCATAGGGATCTTTGTCACATTTTTCTTGTTAGGTGGAATCACCGTGGAAGTAATGTTGAGGTCAGGCGAGGGGTAAAATACAAGATGGGGGAAGTCGGTTTGTGAACCGTAGTCGTCTGAGGTGATTTGGACACGTGTTGCGCATGCTGATCCGCCTATATCGATGTATCACCCTAGGAGAAGCTGGATTAGGTTGGAAGGTGGTTCAGGGTGGTCAGACCAAAACGTGTCACCAGTTCATGAAGTCTGTGACTGATCGTCTTAGCTGTATTGGGAACTGTAGACTACCTGTTGAAGTCCTCGAAACGATATGAATCAGTGTTTGAGGACTCTCGGTCACATGACTGAAAATCGTTCACAATGGTGCAGATGTACTCACTCATTGACATCTAAAGTTTGAATATTTGCGCTAACCTTATCTTTAAACTGTTTGCTTTGTCACACAACTTTGTCTACTCTTATATCACCATTTAACTATCCACCTGTTCTATTTGCACTGCTGTGAAGTGTGGCAACTTGAAGTGATGCACTTGTATGCGAGTTTCTACGTTGATTCGATCAGTCAGTCTAACCTTTTGAACCCCTTCTAAAAAAGTATCACTACATTTTGTTCTAATAGATCGGTTTTCCTCTTCCTCATTTCGAAGTGTTGCTTTACGATGATGAATTAATCAGCGCATAGTGTTAGAACATTTTATCACGGATAAAGTTTGTTTTGTGGTTAGAAGTTCAAATGTCAAGAGGATTTCTGTGGAATTGACGGACTTCAAAACAGTTTCCACTAAGAATCGATTTCATTTTTAGAACCATAAGTAACAGGATAATGCTAGAGAGTTGAATTATAATAGTTAGCGACTTCTCACTAAAGTACAATCACAACTCCATACGAGATCAAACCTATGGTCTTTATATATCACAACCATAACGTTACCATTCAACTATTGGGTTGGAATCTAGCGGTTATCTTCGCAACTTCTGTCAATTCATATCATAATTTGATCAGTACACGTAGTTATTTATTTAAATGGTAATTATCAGCAGAGTAGAGTTTGTAAGTTCGTTGAAGGTATGCAGAAGGTTTGAGGGAGATTTGACCCCTCGTGGTAATTGTAATGTACCTATTCTAAATAAATTTAATGGAAGCACAGCCACAGACAGAACTGAGGCTTTAATAGCCGCATTTATCGGTATTTAGGTACATTTAAATGATAATTGCTTAGTAGGAAAAAAAGATATGCTGAATCCCACTGTTCACTACTAACTAGTATCAAGGAACAATAAGTATTGCGAAAGTATCTGTAATGTCATAAGGTATGCAAATACCGACTGCTTCAGTTTTGATTTCAGCAGTGGTAAACTAGGAGCTGCAATAGTAATAAATGCGCACTGAATGTGACTTATTTGCCTAAAGTCACTAGTACTTTCGATAGCTACTAGTATTCGAAGTAATGGACCACAGTAACAAAATCCACGCGTGGTTGATGAGTTTCCATTCGGGTGAAGCATGCGTCTTACGAATACAGCTAAAGTAGTTCAAAGAATTGATTAGGATACGCTGGTTACTTTTTCTGAAACTCTGTTTATATATTTCGAGGTTTACTGAAACAATAAGTAGTCTGATGAACTGAAGATACTTTTTAATTCACTTGGTAATGGCAAGTATTGAAATCTAAGACTCGCGTTTCATCCTTTTTAGGACTCATCATTCAGAATTGAACCAAACAGCCATCCCCTCAAACGCCAGAATATCAGTTCCTAGACTGTTGAGTCTCGAGGACCATCATGTATGGAACGGATATTATTTGTTAATCATCGATACTTCTTATTTCCCTATACGTAAAAATACTTTGTTTGTGTGTTGGTTGAGAACAAAGCCTGACTTATCCATCTTCTGCCAACAGCAAAAAACAATCTATTCACCTTTATTATTTGTAAACACTTAAACGTTTATAGTCTGTTCTAATTTCTTATTCCTGATTTTCTTGGTGAAAAGCTTAAAAACCATGGTATCTGTGACTTCTAGGATATTGCATGTATGCAGTATTCAGGGATTACGAAGTACAATTTCTAGTGCTATTCAGTCGTAACAAATATGTCAATTGGTATCAATTAACGGAATTCAATCCGTTGAAAGTGAAAATACAGATTGTAAAATTCTACAGGTTTGTGTTACTAATCACTGGATTTTTAATAGGCCTATTTACTCATATAATATACATTTTGAAATCACTTTATTTCACTTATCATGTCTTGTTTCAATTTACCAAGTTATGACAATGCGTCGTCGTGGACGTGAACGAGGAAGACACATAACAAAACCCAATGAAGAAGTTACACAATCCTCAAAATCAAATCATCGAAGAGTTCAACGACTAAATCATGTTATGTCTACAGGTGCTCTGTTAAAAACTGACCACTCAAAAACAGAAATGAACAGCAATAATGCTAAAATGAAACCTATATTCTCTTTATCCAGTTCTAGTTTAACAAAGGATGAACAGTATCCAACGGGTAGTCGTATTCATGAATTGAAAACAATCAAGTCATCTAGTAGTCGTAATACAACAGTATGGAATAGTACAGATAGTATAGATGCACCATTATTATGGCAACGTAAAGTTGATGATATGAAATCACCATGTAGAACAAATCAAAAGAACACTCATAAATCACCATTATTACAAAATAGATTCAGTAAAACAACACCTGATAATTTATATAGAGAAATGAATGATAATGTTGTACAGAAAAAGCCTTTAAATGATATTCTGTTAGTAGATTATCGAAATGTAAATAAAAAACTTCAAAATAAGGTTAAAACAATTCCATCTTCAATGGAACAAGAGATATTTGAATGTGTTCAATTTCAAGGTGTCAGTAGTAATGTTAATACTACTGGTAACAGTTGTACTTCAGGTATTGTTATTAATGATGGTACTAATCCATTGATAACAAATAGTCCAATACGAACAATGAATACACCACGATGTAGACCGATTCATTCTACATCAATAACGCATTCATATGCTCCACAACAAATTCTTCCATGTGAACAAACTGGTGTACAAAAGAGAACTTCTGAACAACAAACAAAATGGATAGGAACTAAAATAGGTAGGCAAATAATTTTGACAATTTTTTTTTTCGACACTATTTAACCTGTTTGTTTTTTTTTACCACGGATCGATATCAGCAACAGAACAAATAGGAATCAGAGAGCAATATAGATAGTTGTTCTTTCGAAGTAAGAGACTCAACAGTGTGCAATCTCTACTCTGAGATTTTATAATATCATATCTATGTCAACAGTTTGAGATATGATGAAGAAGGCATTTTTATTGGATGGTAAATAGAGACCAGCTACCAAGCTAAACAACAAATGAAATTACTGTTAATGTCCTTGACTGTAGCAGGGATTTTAAGTTGCTTGAACTTTTGAAGCAGAAAAAGTTTTGCATAGAAATCTCAAGTACATATAAATGTGAACAAAAGCAGCACACTTAGTATATGCATTTTTATTTATTACTCATAAACATGCTATAAAACCATGACAATTCAGTTGGTTTGCTGAACACAATATAAAAGTTCTAATTAGACTTTAGTTCGTCACTGAGAACTATATAGCACGGTATTAATTACCGTAATGCAACTGTTGATTTGTAAGTGCTGGTGATGTACTAATGAAGAATATTTGTCATGCTAAGTTTGAATGATCTTCTAAAATCGTCATTTCAGTTGGCTGTCTTCGAAGAAGAGAAGACAGTAAAATTAGGATGGATATTAATTACTTTCAGTACAATCTGAGGATTGACTGTAACTGACGCGTTTTTAGTTCTTTACCATGATTGATACCAGCCACCAATCAGTTTTCACACGGGAATCATTTCGGAAAAGGTGGAAATTACCCACTAACATGTAATATCCGTTTACTTCAGTTTATCAAGTGAATTCATCCTTCTCTTCGTATATATATATATATATATATATATATATATATATATATATATATATATATATATATATATATATATATATATAACAACACTGCCCACAACCTCTCATTTCTTCCTCACACGACCTCCTTCATGTCACCCTCACCTCGGACGCCCAACTGGCCGTTTCCCATCTGGGTTCCACTCGACGATCTGGTCTGACAAGTGATGTCCCCAGTCGGCCTCCTCAGTGTATGCCCAGTCCAATCCAATCCAATCCAATCCATCTCCACTTCCTTCCACTGCATATTTGTTGGGCAATAGGTTCTTGGTTAGTTCGTTCCCAGGACGAGTTCATTGTTGCTTATTCTTATTATTCTGGCCATCTGATCTTCAGTAACGAGCCAGCGTAGGTGGCAGTTATTGATGAATATCTGTAGTTTGTTGGAAATCCCTTTCGTAACGCGCCAAGTCTCTGAGCCATACAGAAGCACTGACTTGACTGACATATGTTGAAAATCCGGATGTTGTTCACACTTTATGCTGAATGCAGATCTCTACACTGGTTTCAGGTTAATGAACGCCTGTCTTGCTTTTTCGATCCTGGATGTCTTTGACGTCTTCGTCGGTGCTGCTGCCTGTAGTTGAAACGATGCTGCCTAGATAGGTGTAGGTGAAAGAGACTACTTCCTTTATATATATATATATATATATATATATATATATATATATATATATATATATATATAAAGCAGGAAAAAGTATATATAAAAAGGAGTAACAAAAAAAGAATAAAGATTTGAGTTAAGTAGTTTTGCAAGAACGTGCAAATATTATCAATGTCTTCTCTAGGGATTAACTATCTTCACTTCACCATCATGTGTTCGTCGCTTAATCTATCTTGATGGAGATCAAATTAACTGACTCAGATCACGTTTTCCTATCTAGAGCTTTTTTGGTTCAGCTGTTGATGTAATGAATACATGATTATCTGATCTTAACGATAGATAGTGATTAGCACAGGAATTCAAGACGCAAGTTTCGTCCTACCTAGGTGTCGTCAGCTGGATCTGCCTGCCTCTTCCTCTCTTTCCCTTTAAGACTCGAGCTCAGGACAGGTCGCTCAAAACCCCAGAACGCTTTCCACAATGCCACTCTTTGTACGACGAGTATAGTTTCTGTGTTGTTGTTGTCCATTAATACTATGGAAACAGAAGTACAGGCAACATCGAGGCTTCCGCACAGGAGCCTATATACCAATAGATACTGATTAATTCGGCCTAATCAAAGATGGGAAATGATGGTTAGGGGTGCATACCGTGTAATGAATTACTCACATATTTCCCCCAGATTGGATATCGCGATGTACTTCATTGACAGTCGGTCAGTCAGTCAGTCAGCCAGTCAGTTAGCCAAATATTTAGGCAGTCTCTGAATTGAAATATTATGTCCTCAATATGCGAGTTAATCTCATATAGACACTGATACACTTACATAACTCCTCAGTCAAAAAATGTCTTGTTTATCATGTTTGATGCCACGTTCGGTAACAAAACAAAGAGAATCACAATGTAACAGACTATTTCATATGATTAAAAGTGCATGTAGGGGAATTTTTGGAGTCAAGAAAGTAAGGGGAAGAAATGAAGTGCTGTACTGTTAAGTCAAAACATTATTAAACTGTTGAAATACAAGCTCATAGTTGTAATGACAAGAACACAATTAGTTCTACGTAACGTACACCTCTTCTACTTGCTTTTCTTGTTGCCAATCTTCGTGTCGAGCAAATCCCAACTTTAAGCCTGGCCTTCTTTAGTTTCCGAACGAATCTAAAGTAAAATCTCACTATCGGACTACACCTAGTTGTTTCATTCTCATCAAGGACTGACAATCTTGAAAACAATTATTCTATCTTCTAAAGAGGTCTAGTTGAAGAAGCTTTACTTACATTGACTGGTCACTTCAAAGCAACCAGCTTCGTGTTGTCTAATCCTGTGTGCTGACCTAATTCTGTCAAACACTTTGCAATGTAGCCACCAAACTAGGAGGCTCATCATCACATTGCAATTTGATGGATGTTAGTTGGTTGGAAGCAATCGGTAGGAACCGCAAAGTCCACTAAACTATTCGGCTGAATAGTAACGTCCCTGAATGAAACACTGAATGATGCGGGTTGGGATCTCACAGGAGACGCTAGTTCCCTCGAGGTTGCAGATACGCCTTGTAGACAAGTGCCAAGAAGCGTGAAACCTGTGTTCAAAGCTTTCTAAAGATTGCCTTGCTTCACCTCTTATGACACTCGATTACCAGTAAATGCTGCAGCAACGCTCACAAAATAATCAAAACAAAATCAAGGTTCAACACTTTTCAACTCAGAAGGTATAATTGTAGCGATAATAATGATAATGAATTTTGTGTGTAAAAGTGTATGTTTCTGCTAACTCAAGTGATTTCATGGTGTTACTTTTATTATCTCGTCGTTGATGGGACCGAACTTATCGGTCTCTATAGGCATATGGGCTCCTGTGCGGATGCCTCGATACTGCCTGTGTGCCGATTTCAATTTAATGATGGATAGTGGGAACAACATCGCTCACTGGGAGGCAAGTACGTCCAGCTGACGAGTTCCAAACAGGACGAAACGCCCATCCTGGATTACTCTGCTAGCCAATATCCATCATCAGTGTCCATTAACTTCGATTACAAGACATGAGGATAATACAGAAATCTGATATATGAGTGACATAGACACCAAGAAAAAGAAAACCTTAGATTCTATGAATTATCTACTAGTATGCAAATCGCCAAATTCGATTCCACTCCAATCTACCAGTCTTGAATAGCCGATTTTGACTATCGAGTTTAGTGTTAAAGTGTTCAGCAACTGACGAGTACTTCTTTGCTATAGGTGACTGTCTGGTGAAAGGTGGTCTGCATCGTGAAATTATCTCTTGATTACTCATTGTTTACTTGTCTTCTTCATTGTTTCCTAAAGGATCACAGTCTGTAATGTCAAGTCCACAGAATCATGGCAATTGGGTTGCAACTAATCCGTTGAATCAATTCAATCGAGGCTCAACAACACCAACACCAATGTCAAAAAAAACGCATGAGGATTATGATACAGAACACAGATTATCTAACAATACACCTAGTCCAGTAATTAAAATCCACAATTGCATGATAAATCGAACACAATCATGGGGTGCAGGCTTACGTTATGATCATAATGTGCATCCATGCTGTGAAGAAGATCAATCACCACCTCCATCAATTCAACAAAATTTGTCAACATCTTCAGCAAAAGGTCATAGAAATTTTCATAATAATAAACCATTCATTCTCTCTTCCATACCTAGATGTCATTTATACTCTGTTAGCAATAGTCAAGAACATTTATGTCGTATAAAACGATCTGATACCTATGTTAGTATGCCTGATGTTAATGGTCATCAACAATTCTCAACACATAAACATGCAAACTGTTGTCACATTACTGATAATAATGCCAGTGGTAATATTGTTCATACTACTGCTGGTGTTCGCAGTGACGCCGGAATGCATGGTTTTATTGGGATTGCTGCACGTCCTACACCTTGTATTTCACAGCCAATGACATCAACAAAAGAATGTAAACCTCCACAAGCAAAACGTCCACGTATTGTCAGCTCATTAACACCGACAAACAGACAAGTTACTCCTGTTCATAATGGAAAAAATCAACGCGAAATGACATCACATATTACTGCTAGTACTACAAATAATACCAACAATAAAAACAACAATAGTAGTAGTGATAGTAGTACTGAGCATTCACAAATATTTCTAAATCCTTCATATCATCATTTACACCGCCATCATCTACATAATCATCATCATATGCTTTATCCATCAGCTGGATTTCAAAATATCTTAATGAGAAGTAATAACGATGATGATGATAATAATAAATCGGTTAACAAGCGAATTTACAGTTTAGTTAAGAATGCTAATAACTTATTATTGTGTGAGTCGATTCCAAAACCAAGTGATGATATACATGTAAATTTAGATGTATACAGATGTCATAAGGACAGCAATACTAACAGTGATAATAATGCAGACGAAGTCGAAGATGACGAAGGAGATGATGCTGAAGATATCCAAACAGAGGATGAGATGGAAGTGATGAGAAGAATTAGAAGCAGAAATTCATTATTATGTGATGAAGAAGAGGAGGCAAATGATGAAGAAGAAGCAGATGAAGATGAAGAGGAAATGCTTTCCAATACAGGAAATTCTGATTTAATGAAAGCAGAATATGAAAGTGATTTGGAGAATTCTGAGAGATTCACAGCTGAAAGTAGGTTTGATTAAAAAAAATTTTTATATGTATTGGATACACTACTAAAACATTAGTGAGTAACACTAGGTATATAGATATTTCACACTAGTAGACGGATATCGAATACACCTACTAGAATCGAGTTGAGCATTTCGAGTTACTGATATCGTATTAATTTTTGAAACTCTAACTTCAGGGAAGAATCATATCTGCATCTAAGAATATCAGGCAATGATTGATAGCGGTTAGCAGTGGAATCCAGGATGGACATTACGTCCTTTTTGGGACTCGTCAGCTGGACATACTTGCCTCCCGAGTCCGAATATCGGTGGGGACAGCATCACTCACTAGGAGGCAGGTACATCCAGCTGACGAGTCCCAAACAGGACGAAATGCGCATCCTGGATTCCACTGCTAGCCACTATCCATCATTACTATATGGTTAAGAATACAGGTAATATCGAGGCATCCGCACAGGAGCCCATATGCCAACAGAGACCGATCAATTCAGTCCAATCAACGACGGTGTAATACAAGCAATAACACTAAATATCAGGCAGTACTAGGATAAATATCAAAGTTATTCAGGTTGAAATCCTTCATTGATTGAGGTGGGAAGAACAAGTGTTACTTACCATCGATACACCATGTTACTTTAAGTGGGATCGAGTTGAAGGAAGTCGAAGAATGGTCAGATTGAGATAAAAAACCAATCCATGAAGTATCTGAACACGAAACTGGACAATGTACGATAATATAGGCCTTGAGGTTGGTATCCACTTGACAACCAGTCTTGACGCCATCTTAATTTCCATTTTAGTATCGTCTGGTAACCTCATGAGATAATGTGAAGTTTGAGGTTGCGCTGATTGCTACGCAGCTTTGATAACCTTCACGTCAGTAATGGTTGACTGTTTGTTTTACTATTTCACTCCACCAACCGTTGAAAAATACATGTGATATCAATTTCAGGTTCCACAGTGATAATTTAAAGATACTTATAAATATTTCGATGTAGTAGTGAAGCATAGGTTGTGAAGATAATTGTGTTTGACTCAAATCAATATCTCAGTCTATCAGCCAGCCTATTGTGTTAAATTGGTTTGTAGATGGTGAGAAATCCTATTGTATCGACACATGTTAGGACGTTTAAATGGTGAAACTTAATTTTTTCTGCAGAAATGACTTCTGAAGCAATCGAAACCTTCTTCGAAGGATTACCACTGACTCTTACACGAAATCAAAACGGGAAGTAACCTTGACATAAACTTAGAGATAAGACTAGGAAAATGGAACAACTTTTAGCAGTAAATGAGCAATTAATTAACAAATATACAGTGACTTGCAGCCAAGCTCTCTGAAAAACAGACTGCCGTGGAACTCTCTAAAAACTATAAAAGTCTGCTGTATCAAGTAATGAAATACTCCAACACTGCAACCCACCAATCATAACAGCGATGACATTAAATCATTCAAACTGTGCATGTGATGCTGCCTCAAACAATTTGCTAGGTAATGACTATTAATACTGAAGTGTAATTCTAAGGTTCATTTTCTCCATGAATTACACATTGAACTGCTTGAGAGAATGGTTGGAAAAGCAATACACTGTACAATTCACAGAGAGAGTACAATTTATTCATCGGCTGTCACTTGGTCTTTATGCTGGATGAATAAGTTCGACAGGTGAGAGTTTAGAAAGTTATAGTTGTCTACTGAGTCAAGTTGTCACAATTTACAAACTTTAATATAGAGACGTAACCAATGAATAAGAAAATAAAGCATCGATGACAATGACATCATTCACTATAAGAATATGAAGCGAAGACAAAATCTCAAGCTAGATGAAGATTAAAGTAGACCGAAATAACAAGTGTTTTCAAGATTTGAAGACAGAAAATGTGCATATGTTTTGAATGGTTTTGAGAAATTCAGTAAGGTTGCTACATGGACACGATTCAGGATTAACTAAAATGCCAGAGAATGTGTGTGATTCAGATATGATCCTCTCTGACTGGTTTCGACCACTGATTGTCATAGTTTACAAGAAAAAAGAGAAAAATGCCTGAGTCATAAGGGAACTAATCCCAAGTTCTAAGTCCCGTAATCAATGAACGCCAAAGTGAAACTTCAGAATGGTAAACCCGAAGAAACCAGGAAGGTTTAAGACCTAGTCGTGGATGTATCAACTAGATATTCACTCTCATTTAGGTCGCGAAACATATACATTTTTACTGGCACCCGACACTAGCTGTATCTCTCGACCTAAAGGAGGCATTTTATTTCATCAGTCAAGAAGGGACGATTTAGCGCCTATAGTGAGCTATCAGGTGAGTTGTGTACGTTAAGGATGTCCAAAGTCTGCATTCTTATTCAACTTCATCACATGCATACTTACGGAGGTTTTCTTGTCATCGCTTGACCTTAAGTGGATTGCTCTTATCCACTGAAAGTCTTTAGCAGACATACAGTACACATATGACATAATCCTATTAGGTAACAACTTTTACAAGATCCAGAATGATCTGAAATACTTCAGTGGCAATTTCAGAATGTCTGGCATGCGCTTCTCGCCACACGAATAGAAATTGGTACTCCAGGACTTGTCTCCTGCAGTATCCAGGTTAACAACAGAGAGTGAAGTGATTTAGTACGTTAACCACTTCATTTGTCTGGGAAGTCAGATCAGCCTTAATAGATCAGTGAGCGCCAAAATCTCCACGCGGATACAAAAGGCTTGACTGACTTTCCCCAACTTACACCATCTGTGACGACACCACAGAGTCCAATAGCCCATTAAGGGTACAGTGTATTGTGCTGTAGTTTGGCTTGTTCTACTATGTGATAGTAAAATATAGCCATTATAGGTATTGGACATTAGAAGCCTCTAAGTGTTTGACCACTGTTGCGTTCATAGATTAGACCATGTGTTCTGGTGTCTCCACGTTATCGATTGTAGTTAATGAAAATGAGAGATTTTCATAGAAAGATATATCACCTTCTGAACAGGTTGGATAGCAGGCAAAGACTACTTCAAAAGTAGATCTGCAAAAATATAGATAGATATCGTAAGATACATAAGAGACTAGTGTTAAAGGTACCATACCTCTTTTCTCGATCAGTTTATAGGTAACTATCACATTCCAGATAGCGCATTTTACGAGAGTTAGAACGCTTTTAGGAGATACACGCCGGATTCACAAACTTACATACCTTAATATTTCCCATACAATATATCAGTTTATGAAACAGCGAAGGCTAAACACTGCTTTCTGTTTTGAGATTCATGGAATGAGGGTAAGAATGTTGCTTCTCAGGAAGCTCCCCATCCACATCTCTACACCAGTACATATAACTTTTGTACTGATGCACTCAATGATATGAATTTATCATCATTAGTATTGTTCTGCTGTTGAGCTGACAGTGTGACTACTCCTAATGGTTGCAGTTTCGATCCGAGTTTCCCAAATCGGTCTAATGATAAACAGATTGAGGGAATTACAAAGCGCTACTATTATTACGCCAGGTTGCTTTGATTAATTTTCATGCTATTAATACCAACGTCATATCAGTTGAGTCAGAGAGAAAATAAGAGTACATTGATTGGTCACTAAACGGAAACCAACTTCACCTTGTCTAGTCATAGGTGCTGATCGAATTCTATAGATTGTTTTTGCGATATAACCACCAAGTTAGGCGACTCAGCAACCTGATGCAATTTGATCGTTGTTAGTTGGATGAAGAAAACCGGCAGGAACCTCTGAACCCAGGGTTTCGTGCTTTTGGGCACTCTTCAGCAAGGAGTATCTGCAATCTCTACGGAAGTGAAGTTTCACCTGGGATTCGAACCCGCATCTTTGATTGCAGCACTGAGCTACAACGGTTCGAATCTCACGAGAGATATCAGTTCCCTCGAGGTTGCAGATAAGTCTTACTTAAGAGTGCCCAAAAGAAGGAAACCTAGATCCAAGGCTTCCTACCCATTGATTCTATCCATCCAACCAACATCTACCAAAGAAAAGTGCATTCCACTAACCTGTAATGAATATTAAAGTAATAAACAAAATATAAGACAAATCATCAAGGCCCTAAAAAGTGTAGGTGAACCAGCCTAATTGTCAACGAATGAAAACGAAGGAGGTTCCTCACCGTTGATTGGTTGATTTTCGTATTCATTCCATGCAGTGACACAACAAAGGATACTGAAGCGATGAAAAGTAATCACAAAAATCTAGATGATAAATAAAGAGTATAATGACTACACAGTCGAATTGTCAGATTCAAAAAAAGCTTTCAGAGCTCATACAGTTTGTAGGGGATGGTATGAGCAAGATTTTGTCACATCTACTTCAGTAAACTGAATATCCTTACTCTTCACTTAACCAAATTCACCAAACAAAGACAAGCTATCGAATTTCACTTTCTTCACATGGAATTAGTCACTTTAACTACTCTTGTGAAGCTAAGTTGATCAGATGTACAATTTGGTAAGTCAGTATGGAATTTTAGAACATCATTTTTCATGCCTGATCAGAGGGTAGACAATATTTTTTACGTTCGATTTATTCAGTTTCTAAATATTTAAATGGAAATATTCGGTTTCATATTCTTTTTAATGAAATCCACGTTTGACTATGAGTGCTATTCATATAATTATTCTGTTTACTTAGATGTTATTTGTTTTACTCTATCACAATTTTAGATTCTCCAGTGAATTCAACTTCCTTATCTGAAACAGAAATAGCACAAAAGCATTTCTCACGATCTAGTTCTGTACTACGCGATGAATCAATCAGAATAACTGTTTATCCATCTGAACCTCATGGAATTCGACTATCTAGTCAAACATCACAAAGACAACAACAACAGTCATGTTCACCAAAGTCTTCCTCACACCATCATCAACATCGTCATCATCAAAAACACTTCATCCCCAAACGAAGCAATCATTTACAAATAAGATCAGATGAACAAAATATTTCTGAGACATCAACTGACTTGGTCTATGAATATGAAGCCTAAAATATGTACAAGTGCCTAGCATATATACAGCTACATATATGCGTTAAATTCGGTCATTCAGTGTATCAGTATACTTTAAATAATATCGAAACTTATCAGACAAATCGTGTAAGTAATGCATCCTAATGCCTTAGATTGCCTTAGTAATAGGATAATAATAATAATTACAATAATAATAACAATAGTAAGCGTAGAAGTAATCTTTAATATCAGATCCATATCACATTATACGTTCACATATGAATTGTATGTTATCAAGATAAAGAGATATACGCACCTCTCCTCAAGCAAATTCCTTCTTCGTATTCAATATAAACCCTATCTTTATTGTCAAAACTCACTATTTTTCATTGTTTAGGCTTTTTGTTTAAATCGCTTCAAAAGAGGGAAAATTGAATTACAATACATGCAAAGATTTAAATTTATTTAGGTAATAATAGGTTTATATGCCATTCATAGCCTCCATAACTTTGTTGCATCTTTTACAAACTATACTGCTTCTTTTACTCCTTCTTACCTTCTAGCTATTGTTTTTTTCCTCTTTTTTCCACATCTTTCTTTGTACATGATTCAAACAAAAATATACTTTGCCATAACATAAATGAAAAACAAAAAAAACAACAAATTGAATTGACCAATCAGAATGAAGTGTTGAACAAACACGCAGATTACTCAAAAAGGAAAAAAAGAATCGAAACAAAAATCCTGGTGATAATTTCCCTTTTTATTTTAAATAAATTGAAAGCGTATATGCAAAGCTTTGTACAAAAATAACAACTGAAGACAGATAAAAATGAACCATGATCATTAAATGTTGAGGTTATAATTAATCTGGTAAACAGAATATTGTTTTAATGAAAACTTCATATAGAGTATTGAAAATATTGTAGTTTTTGAATAAAAAAAGAAGCAGTTGTAGTAGAATAGAAGTGGAATTAGTAGCAATTAAGAACATTAATGTGGATAAAAGAGTGAGAAATTCCTATGGAAAGGCGATACAATGATAATAAACTTGAAGAATGATATTGTCAATTTAGTAATAGCGGTGATGGTATTGAATTATTTCACTTCTTATTCTCTTATACAGTAGGTAAAACTGTTTTCTTGTTACAATTTTTCAGGTGAATCTTTTCTTTTTCTAGTTTATACCTCTTACAAATCTCTACATTTTTCTTTCTTTCACATTTTACACACGAAAATACACATACACACCCCAACCATCCATCTGAATATTTTACCTATTTACTGGATAAAAAAAATATGACACTTTAAAGGTAACAATAATGATGACGATGTTTAAGGCAATAATGATAAAGATAGATTGAAGTAGAAGATTTCAATTTTTCAGGAACTTTTTTCATTCATCTTTAACGTGAGAAATGTAATGAATGTACAACAGAAAAACTTTAATTCGAGTTAATTTTGTTTTTCATATCGTTTTAATTTATCTCATTTAAGAATACTAGATGACTGAAGTCAATTGAAGAATTAGGTAAAAAAAATTTAAAATATATTACATAACTGTTTCGTCTTAGTTTGAGCTTCTTCAGTAATGTAAATATGTAATCGATTAGGATATGTAAATAATTAAGTGATGAAAATAACTTTTCTAAGCATTACTGATTACATTGATAGGTATCGTTTATCACTTATTCGACTTATTTCACTCTACAAATAATATCCCATGTCCATTGCTTATTGGAAAGTTACTTTTCAATGAGGTATTTCTGTAGATATGCAGGAGATTAGATCAAAATTATTGCGTTTTGAAATGATGAAAAGTACGTTTAATTCAGGTGGATGATTTTAGTTCTGTTCCGTTCTCTGAGTTGAATAGTTTAATCGTGAAGCCTTCATTATCTTTCTAGGCAATATCATCAGTACTAACTTCAGTATGAAGTAAGCTATTGGAACTTTCTTATGAATGATTTTAGTAGTTTTTCCTGACAAACTGACTGGTAGTCTTCTTTGTTTGTTGTATCAATGACTACATAGGATTTCCTATTAGCCATTTCTCTGTTCGACCTCTCGCTTTATAGTTGTTCATTATCCTACTTATTAGTTGATGGGTTGGATCTGTGTTTCAATATCTACTGATTACTGAATGATGGCAGGCTCAACAGAATTCTTTTGCAATCTTTGTGTTATCTCTAAAATTTTCACAACCATATTCATGTCCATATTTGTCTAAATACGCTGATATAAGGAATGAAATATCATGACGTTTAATTACTAACTGCTATAACCTAAAAAGCAATTACACTTTACAGCTAACTGTTAATGCTTCACTTTTAGACCAAACTGGTCTTCAACAGTACAAAGTAACCCAAAATAGATCAGATGATACTTAATGCAAACAAATCTGGCTCTGTAACGTACACGATTTACCAAACAATTGCAGTTTATGCTTCAGTTTAAAATGTGAACAACGAATATCAGTCAGTCGAAATAAACATGGTATCTGGCACCTCAGTGCAACAGTTCATGTGGCTGCACCTCATATAAGCACATCAAATGAGAATATACCTAGATAAAAGCTAGGAAATAAAGCAGAAGGTAGTCAGAGTGGTAAAGAGTTGTGAGAAGAAAACAAGAAGGAATGCAACAATAATGGAATCCAGTATGATTATAGTTTATGGATACGTTTGAGCCATTGAGATCGATTCCGAAGCATATCATTTAAAGTCTCCAACCACCGGTTTCTGTTGTTGCCTTGGTTGCAATCAGTAGGTCTATATTTCCCAACACGGCTAAGACCAACAGTTACAGACTTCATGGACTTATGTAGTGTTTTGGTGTGTCCACCTCTAGCATGAAGAAAGATTTTGCGAACCTAGTCATGATGGTTTTTACTGAAGATCAGTCCAGATGCAGATCAACATTTGATACATAATCGGATGTCCACCAGTTTCCCGTATATCTCATTTCGTCCTAAATCTCTCTAGAGTTCTAGTAAAATTAATTGGTGATATCAATGATTAGGTTACATTTCTATCAAAATAACTCGAAACGTTTAATTAACCTTATGAAGAGCGCGAAGAGGGAGGGACGCTGGACCGCAGAAAAGACCCTGGAAGATTTGGATTTCGCCGATGACTTGTGTCTAATGTCACACAAACTTGAAGATCTACAGGCGAAAACTAACAAGTTGACAGGAGAGGCAAGGCAGCGAGGACGGGACTTCAGGTGAATGTAGAGAAGACGGAGATGATGAACATACCCAACCAAACCCAACAACAACAAACTCCCATCAGCATCAGCGGGAGAAACTTAAAGGAAGTAGCCTCTTCCACCTACACCTATCTAGGCAGCATCGTTTCAACTACAGGCAGCAGCACCGACGAAGACGTCAAAGACATCCAGGATCGGAAAAGCAAGACAGGCGTTCATTAACCTGAAACCAGTGTAGAGATCTTCTGCACTCAGCATAAAGTGTGAACAACACCCGGATTTTCAACACCAACGTCAAGTCAGTGCTTCTGTATGGCTCAGAGACTTGCCATGTTACGAAAGGGATTTTCAACAAACTACAGATATTCATCAATAACTGCCACCTACGCTGGCTCGCTACTGAAGATCAGATGGCCAGAATAATTAGAATAAGCAACAAGGAACTCGCTCTGGAAACGAACTAACCAAGAACCTATTGCCCAACAAATATGCAGTGGAAGGAAGTGGAGATGGATTGGATTGGATTGGGCATACACTGAGGAGGCCGACTGGGTACATCACTTGTCAGACCAGATCGTCGAGTGGAACCCAGATGGGAAACGGCCAGTTGGGCGTCCGAGGTGAGGGTGACATGAAGGAGGTCGTGTGAGGAAGAAATGAGAGGTTGTGGGCAGTGTTGGAGCAAGGTTCATAAGATTTCAGAGACCAGAGTGCACTGGAGACGTGCTACTGAAGCCCTGTGTTCCACTAGGAACCCAAGGGATAAATAACAATAAACAATATATGATTGCTTATGATTTACCTTTTTGGTCATCGAGCGAGTCGAAAAGTTTTTTGGCATCACATGCAGAAGTAAAGAGGATTACACAGGAAAACGAAGTTGCAAAACTAATGCAGAAAACTGAAAATTTAAAATACTTTAAGAGAAGTGGAAGGAAGGAAGAGTTCTGAAAACAAATTATGTTGAAAAATCGATTGCATATGCATCAGTAATGCTAACAAAAGCTGGAAAAGAAACTATAGTCAGATCAGGAAAAAAGGTCTTGTACAGAATGCTTCATTGTCTCAGTTCTACTTTACTCATTGACTATATGCCTCTTTAGTCAGTCTTTGGTTCTATGAATGTAATTCCAATTGACGGAGTGGATCGTCTTCAAAGATGGGTGGTTGTTCTGTTTGGTTATAAATTATCAAATAAAGTAAACGTCTATGCATGATTTTGGTCAAGCAGAAATATTTGTTAATATATTCAAATGAGACGTGCTAAAAGTGAAGGAAGAAGGAGTTCCCCAAAAATTTATTTTAGATTACCAACCAAATTTGAATTCATCAGGAAAGTATGAAATGTCACCTAGTGAAAACATTTTTGAACACAAAAATTCAATCACCTTGAATAACCTACCTTCAAAGCTTAAAAAAGTAATAGAAAGAAAAAAGAAAATCCAAAATGGGCACAACAAACGCCATGAAGCAAAACCCAGGTACTTTTCATTTGCAAAGTCAACATGGGTTCGTGTTTTTCGAGTCATCAAATGAAAAAGGATAGGCTGAATCAGAAAATGAGGCCAGTAGCATACGCGGTGTGAGTCAGAGTTATGCTGAGACACATAAACTACATCAGAAAACATGAAGTCCTATATCTGATGCGAACAATCAGCTTCAATAAACTTTACCAAAGGAAATCTTATGTGAAGAAATGAGGAAACCAAGTGTAAAACGAACGGTAGTACAAGTAGAACAACAATCCAGAAGATCACATAAAGTGCCACGACCTACACAGTATCTTCAAATGACACATCAGTCGAAGGCATATTGGAATTTACGAAATTAAAATGAAAGAGGTGTTAGAACAGACGAACAGATAACTGGCTGGTCATTGTTTACCATGTAAAATGTGGTTTAAGTGTTCATCCTCAACTTTGACCAAAATTAGTGGCATTTGCAACTTATTGATTTCAATCAAGTCCTACAGGAGGTAAATCGCGATCTGAAAAGCTCAGTGGTGATATCTCTGCTTACCGAACTGAGTAACGCATGTTCGAATTTCATACGAAATATAAATTCCCCAGACAGGCTGCAGACGCTTTGCTGATGAGTGCCAAAAAGCATGAAACCTAGGTGCAGGGTTTAGTGCCGATAACCAGAAAACAACTAACACTTACTGACCCATTATTAACCTTGGTCAGAGGTTATGTTATTGATATTTTACTATTCCATTATTAGTTGATACCTGAGAAGACTATTTTTAATATTAAACTTCTAATTATTGGTCCGGCGAAATGACCATATAAACAGTAATATTTTAAATTAGTTTTCGACTCTTTCCCGGGACAACAAATTTTGCCGTCCTAGTCCTGTCTGTTTATCCTGCAATAGTATGAAGATAATATTTAAGTGACTAGTATCCAGTATTGCGAGTCAGTGTTGCGGGTGTGTAATGACAATTCCTAATTAGTACCCCATGAGTTGGGAGAAATCACAAGTCAAGCATTATTCACTCCACCAACCTAAACATACTTCAGCTAACACTATACGATCGAGTAGAGAGTGAATGAGCATGTGCAATACATATCCCAGACATTTAAGTCGATGAAGCTTTACGACCCCATTAACTAACCTACAATATTTACTCAAGACTCTACATATGATATACAGTTAATAATGCGGCGTCATCACATTGGTGCAATTGTGGTCCATCGGTTTAAGGAGACAAATTTCAACCAATAGGTCACTGGTCCCAGCTCCCTTCTATCACGTCAAGGTTAGGACAGCCAGGTGATACCACTAGCCCTCACATAATAACTATGGCTCATCATCTACTGAACGAATGTGTACAAGGTTGCTGAGAGCATTCAGATTGGTGAAATTAAAGCAAGTAAGTGGTTACTGACGAACAGAATTGACAGTGAACTAACTTATTGTTTGGAAACCGTTTCAAACTAATATTGTTATCTAGTTCGAAAAGTGATCTGAATTCAGTAGATCAACGTCGCAATGTAGCCAGTTCTCAATTAAGTCGGTAGAGTAACTCAGTTCAGAGATGGTCTGTCTCGCGATATTACTAGTTGACATTCGATGGAATTTCCAGTATAGCATCAGTCAGTAACAGTAAGATAGACCATGTCTGAACTGTGTCACCCTACCGACTTAATTGAGAACTGGCTACATTGCGACGCTGATCTACTGAATTCAGATCACTTTTCGAACTAGGTAACATAACACTAGTTTGAAACGGTTACCAAACAATAAGTTAGTCTACTGTTAATGCTATTCGTCAATAATGACTTGCTTTAATTATACCAATTAGTTGTGTGACGTCACCACATTAGTAATTTGTACTTTGTACAGTCTTGAGTAAAAGTGATAGGTTAGTTGACACGGTCGTAATGCCTAATCGACTTCGATGGTGTTATCCACTACGCCATAGCAGCCACCTCCTGTTCACCGTGAATCAGGTGTTACTTTGTACCTACAATCTCCCATCGTTATATTGGGTCAAATCGCGTAACCCTTAATGGGAGATGGGCTCCTGTGCAGATGCCTTGATACATACAGGAGACAGTCTACCAACAGGAGTCGAGCAACTCGACCTGTTATAACGAAAAATTAACAGCAGTGAAAAATACTTTTAGAATAAGTAGCCTACAACCGAAGGTTAGCAAACATCAACTAAGCGGTTGACGAAAGCAACAGAGATGGAGAAGGCATCAGGATTGACTCAAAACCAGAAACCATAAAGTTTTATTAGGATACCAGCAAGAAGACGATGGTGAGTGAAACCACTACTGAAAAGGGCGGCACCCTCAGAACCTCCTAGGACAGGTGACTACAAGGTTGAGCAGAATACTTTGAAGCACAGTTCAACTGGACCTCAACAACGCTTAGTTGCCCAACATCCAGCCTGAACATGAGTGGGACACGGATATCGGTCCTCCAACTCTTCTTGAAGATGAGAAAGCTATATGGAAACTGAAACGATACAGAACAGCGGGACCTAACAGTTTGCCACCTGGAGTTTTCAAGGA